TTACACATTCTGAAAACAAGATTATTATTCTTACACAATCAGTTCTTGTTTAGTAAATCAGTCTCAAAACAAGATCAAGAAGACTTTTTGGCTGAATATAAGATTTTAAAACAGGAAGATGGACAGTTTTTGCAGTGTATACGCTGCTCTACAAAAAAATAAAATAAAATAAATCCTCCTCCAGAAGGGGGTAAAATGCCTATCTGCATCCCAGGCTTTTCTTTGAAAAATAATGATGCTCTTACATAACACATCTGAATAATTCCAGCCTAAATTATATATTTTTAAACATGTAAATGGGAATGGTATGGAGGATTTCAAGCACTATGGTGCCAAATAAAGGAAGCTGGCTTGATCTGGAAACGTGACCAAAAAAATAAAATAAAAAAATAAAAAGGACACAAACAAAAACACGTTTTCAAATCACGACTTTAAAATCCAACTTCTCTAATGTTTCTGTTTTGTCACCATCTCTGCAAAATATCTCCTACTCATGCTGTGAAAAAAAAATCAATTTAACTCTCACTTTGTCACAAAATTCACTCAGCACATTTCTGTCTCAATTGGGATGACTTTTTCTTTAATAATTAGTTTTTCTAGCTCTGAGAAGTGTTCGGACTGGCAGTGATCTTAGACACAATTAGACTCTAGAGTAAAATGCATCAGTGGTAATGATTCGCTGGTTTATATTAGGCTGAGGGTTGATTAGATCTCTAATGAGAAACTCTAATAGTGTTCTGTGTGATTGGTTTATAGCATCTTTGCAGCCCTGATGCTGATCTCTTTGCTGCTTTAACAACAAGCTTTTCTATTTTTTAGCAAACATTTAGATTTGTATGTGTACAATATCTGCTGTCTTGAATAAGGAAGCATCAAATGTATCTACTTGACTGATTGTAGAAGTGTGCTGCGTAACATAAGCAATGTGCAGGGCAGAGTTATTGGTTGTGGTTTGCTTCCCCCATGTGAACATTTACTCTTACTACATGTCAAAAAGTAGATGAATGCATTTCAGAATAACTGTCATGGTTATTGTAGCAGGGAAAAAATAATTCACAAAGATATCAGGTACAATTTATTTTACAACATTTTGCCAGCTAAGGAGAACAGCCAAAATCGCCGAAGAAAAATACCAAGGCATTTGAGGAAATGTCTCCTTCTCGAGTTCTGGTTGCTGTGCTAACAGTCAGTAAAACAATAGTTTTATACACAGTCTCTAATTATCAAAGTAAAAATTAATCATCTCACAGGCTGTGACCTCGTACAGCATCAAGGAGTCGCTCAAGTTTGAAAAAAAAAACCCCATCTTTCTCTTTGTTGTTGTTGATCGATTACAATAGTTTAAGTCAGGTCAGAATGTACTTATGACGATGTTTATTATGCCAATCTAAAACAGTTAATGTGCAGTTAAAGCTATTACAGCTATTTATGTGTTGGCTAGGTTCGATTAGCTGTGACAGCCACCTTGATTTGGATTGACTCCAAATGGCATTTAGTTGTAGATGAACATCAAGTGTTTACATTCTGAGAGTTTCATTAAGATGTAATTTAGTCAGCATTTTGACTATTTTCGCTAGCCTTAGGGTGGCCAGGCTCAGTCTTAGGAGTTCAGTCATCCAGGAAGAGCTCAGAGTAGAGCTGCTGCTCCTATGCATCAAAAGGAGTCAGTTGAGGTGGTTCTGGCATCTGATTAGAACGCCTCATGGACGCCTCCTGTTAGAGGTGTTCCGGCCCAGTTCCTTCAGGACTCATTTGAGGGATTTTGTATCCTCTCTGGTCTGGGAATGCCTTGGGATCCCCCAGGATGATCTGGAAAGTGTTTCTGGGGAGAGGAAGGTCTGGATTTCTCTCCTGAAGCTTTCATGACCCAACTATGGTTAAGTAGCTACGTTTACATGGACATAAGTAATCTGATTAAATGGCCATTTGGAATAAAAATGTGTCATGTAAACACCCCATTCAGATTATTCTGACCCGATTCAGCTCGATCCGAATGAATTTGTAATCGGAATGAGAGAGGTGCTTTATGCTGATTGATAATCCGAACAGCGTGCATGTAAACACTTAATCTGATCATCTTATTCTGATTGTGGAAAACTGACCTGAATGTGCATGTCTGCTGACTTTCATCCACCAGTTTTGTGGAGGGAGGGACAGCAGCGCTGTTTCCAGAACCTTTCCTCCCATTTTCTCATTCAATGAAGGAAGACACACAGCCTACGCCGCTTCGCAAAAAAAAAAATAAATAAATAAATAAAAAGTCCATGCATCACCTGCAGCTGAACCAGAGAGTGCAGTAACATCTCCACCATTATTAAAACCTGTAGCAGGTCCATGCTGAGCACTCAGAGGACATTTGTTTATGCTGTGTTTTATTTTTTTTTTTTAGGGAAATTTAACAACTGCACATCAGTCTTCAATTCTGAATAAAAGCCTGTTGCATGTAAACACTCATGATCGGATTGTGCCCGTGCAAACGATACATTCCGATTATTTAATCTGAATACATTTCAATCCGATCAAAGAATTTTGCGCATGTAAACATAGCTAGTGACAGAAGATGATTATTATTATTATTGTTATTATTTATTTATTTAGTTTAGTTTTGGGCACCGGGGTAGGACCACACCACAATTTCATTGCACTCTTATCTTATTGTACAGGTAAATGCAAAGTTTTAATCAAGGAATTGGTGGAATCGCTCTCTGCTATTGTAAATAGACTGAACTTAATGGACTGAACTTATAGAGTACTTTATCAAGTCTCTCCGGACCCCAAAGTGCTTTACACTACAGACATTCACCCATGCACACACACATTCACACACTGATGATGGTAAGCTACATTGTAGCCACAGCTGCCCTGGGGCGCACTGACAGAGGAGGGGCTGCCATGCGCCGGTGCCACCAGTGCCACCAGACCCTCTGACCACCATCAGTTTACAAGGCAGCTGAAGTGTCTTGCCCAAGGACACGACGACTGAGACGGCTGGAGGGGGATCGAACCGGCGACCTTCCGGTTCCAGGACGACTCCCCTAACCACTCCGCCACAGCCAGTGCTGCTACCACTTCAAAATTTAGCTCAATAATTGTAAAATAAATAGACTTGAAAACATGTTTGATAAGTTTGATTAGTTATGGTAACCATCTTGAATCACGTTGACTTCAAAAGTTAATCTTGTTGTTTTGAGAATTCCAATAAAATATGTTTAGTGATTGATGAGATAGGAAATGGGCACCAGTGACCCACGCAACCCTGAAAAGGAAGAAGCGTGTACAGAAAATGGATGGATGGATGGATGGATTGATGAGATATTTTTCTAACAGAGACACAATACAAAGCAGCTCATGTCCAGATAGTCCAATCTCTTAAAGTTAAATGTTTGCACTCTAAAAATGACCCCTTCTTAAAGGCAGAGCTTTTATTTTTGTTTGTTGTAACGTCTTTCTGTCTGTCTTCAGGTTTGTGGACGGGATAGAGACAGAGAACCACAGCAGTTCAAATCAGAAGTTTGAGTTTTCTCCCAGTGCGACACGCACTTTTCTACCTGGCCCAGATTCAGCCATTTTAGGTAAAAAAAAAAAACACTGAACATTAAAAATACAACAAATAAACAAATAACTAGTTTATTTTTGTATATTTCATGTCCTCAGCAGCCCACGATGACGGTGACACCATGCAGACTATTGCAATGCTAAAGCATGAGGTAAGGCTGATAAAACCTTTACTGATATTAAAAAGTAAAACTGTTGTAAATATCAGAAAGATTGTGTTTGTTGTTTCATACCAAATGAGGACAAAACCATTTGTTTTTCTAAAAGGTTAACCTTAAAAGCGGTCATATTTAAGGATGTAACCGAAGTGCATTTTCTGCGTTGACACCAGCTAAAAATAAGGATAATAGCCAAAAGTAGCAAAAGCCAGCCAAAGAACCCCAGCTAAAAACTAAAAAAAAGCTAATGTAAGCTAAAAGTCAAAGATGGCTGAACACCAGCTAAAAGCCTAAAGTGACCATATCATGCTTTTAAATTCTTTTTCACATTTAAATTATTCAGTTTGGGTTTATATAAAGTGGAACCTCAATGCTTTGGTCTGAATTCCTTCTTATTGTAACTCCACAATCCCCTCTTTGACCACTGTTCTAAGGTGTGTCTCTGCTCCACTCGTTTTGGTGCTGTCTCCTTAAATCCAAAAGAGGCTCTTCACACCCCGCAGCACAACACTAGCTTAAAGTAGCAAAAAGTAACTAAAATGTTTTTAAATGAAACTGTCAGAATGTAAAGGTTAGATGAACATCTACAGCTGATTATCTTTCACAGTCATCTTGATTCAAGATGCTGGCCACAGCTAATCTGAATTAGCCGACTCAAAACTATTCTGGCAGTTTAACCAAATTTAGTTTAACAGCTGGAAGTCCTTCAGAGCATGTTAATTAATTATTACAAGTTGCAAAATTTGTTTATTACTTATTATTATAACCATCGTTATTATTAAGATGTGTTTGTTTTTAAACCTGATGTGGTTTCTGTCTCCACCTGTCCTTCCTGTCTCCACCTGTCCTTCCTGTTTCCATCTGTCCTTCCTGTCTCCACCTGTCCTTCCTGTCTCCACCTGTCCTTCCTGTTTCCATCTGTCCTTCCTGTCTCCACCTGTCCTTCCTGTCTCCACCTGTCCGTCCTGTCTCCACCTGTCCTTCCTGTCTCCACCTGTCCGTCCTGTCTCCACCTGTCCATCCTGTCTCCACCTGT